CCTGAGCCTGGGGCTCAGGACTGTGGTCTCAGTGACATCAAGCCCCGCTGGCATCACATACTTCTGTGTGTCCTACTTTGATGAGTAGCATCTGGGGGGCTTCAAAGTTCATGAAAGGCAATCTAAAGTATAACTAGCTGTCCCAACCTGTCCAGAGGAAAGAAGAAGGTTAAAATCAAAAGACACATAGAAGCAATTAGTCCTGTAGGCTAATGGACAATGCAAAAATCAATCTCTAGAAGTGGCTGGTGTCTACCACTACCAGCTATTCTGAAAGGGATTACATTAGAATGTCCTCTAGAGAATGAGAGGAAACTGTGGAACAAAACTCAAAATCATATAAGAGACCAAACTTACTTGTTGGACAAAGAATTCCTAAGACTATGACCCTTAGTTACCTTTTAGATCTGTAACGAAACTCACCTCCATAGCTGAATTTTCAGCCAAATAATAGAAAGGCCTATCAGGGAAACAATAATAAGAATATGGTATGCACATCTTAGAATAATTAACCATTTAAGATCAAAAGGGTAGCATTTACCCAAGAAACAAGTTCGGAATCAGAAAAAGAGGAATGGAAATGTGAAAACAAGAAGGAGGTGGGATAAGGGATGGCACATTGAGGGAATTGCAGTGGACGAGTTGAAAAGAAATAAATGTGCTCTGTAAACCTTCACCCAGTCAACACAAAGTTTGTTTTTTTAAGTATGAATTTTCACTGACCAAATAAGATTCTAGAAGTTTAGTCTAAAGAAATAATTCAGATGAAGCACAAAATTTTGATATATAAGAAATTTAGTGATGACATTATGTATAATTTTGAAAACAATTTTAAATGACTATTAATGAAAGAAGTATAAGTAAATTATGGACTTCTAACTGCATACAATTTCATACCACCATTAAAAATAAGTTTGAACGCAATATAGAAAATTAAAAATGCTTATGAATATATCATTTATAGTCATGATGTAATTATATATACAAAATTTAATAATGTATAATATACATATGTTATGTAATATATAATATACAAAATTTTAAATTATGTGTATGACAAAATTACTGTTATAAAATATCTATATTTGAACAAAGACTGAACAACAATAGTTAAAAATTAAAAACATCAGTTGCTAAGATTCTTGGTAATTAAAACATTTTTAATGTCTCATCATTTTTACTCTAAAAGTGTTAAATTAAATTAGATTGTGACACAGTGTTTTTAAAATTTATTTATTTTAAAACCATTTTATTGAGATATAATCCACATATCATACAATTGAATAGTTCAGTCATATAAAAAGGGTTGAATAATCTTTACCACAATCAATTTTAGAACATTTTCTTCTTCTACTCACTGTTAGCTCAGTTTTCAACCCAGCCTCCCTTACCATACCCCCAAGAAACCATTAATCCAGTTACTGTCTATAGATTCACCCATCCTGAATTTCAAATGCTGAAAAACATAAAAAATAAATAAATAAAAATGCTAACAACAATAACAAAATAGGAAAAAAACTCAATTGAAAAGAAAGCAGAAAATATTAAAAACTAGAACTTTAAAATGACTCAAAAAGGAGACCAAATGATAAGGTGTTAAATTCTAGCCTAACTACATCTGCCATAATCCACTTTTGAATACACTCTGCATGATGGCAAGGCTATTCAC